CCACCTCCAGCCTTGCCCACCTTGGTGCCAGCACCCTGTGGTCCCCAAGGTCCCCAAGGACCACACTGTCATGGGTGACACCATGAGCGTCCCTCTGGAGGTAACCAGGACAGGAGATGGTCAGGACGATCCCAAAGGTTGGTGGCAGCAGCAGAGAGCTCACAGATGGACCCGCTCAGGGTCCCCTCAGGGCTCTGTCACCTCGCTGTCCCTTCGTGCCATTGACTCCTGTGCTGTGTTTTTGTTGTCCTCCCCAGATGTTCCCCAGCTCCCCACCCCACACGTTCACTCCACCCTGGGCCCTTCCCAGCCCATCTCTCATCCTTCCATGGCCTCGGCTCCATCCTCCACTCCAGCTCCCACCCAAGGTACCGTAAGCTCCTTTTCTGTCTCTTTGGCCTGGAGAAGCTCCACAGGAGGACGGTGGCCCTGCCCTGGCCTGGGGACAGCCCTGCCAGGTGGCTTCGGTCCCTCAGGTTTTCCAGGAGGAGCCCCAAGCTGTCCCTTGTCCTGTGTGTCCATGTGCCGTGCTGTCCCTCTGTCCTGCTGCCACCCCTGTGTGTCCCTCGTCTTGTCCTTCCCGAATGCGGCTCTGTCCCCACCCTGAGCTGATGGGGCACGGCTGGCACGAGGATTTGTCACCGTGCCACAGGGCTGGCACAGGATTCCAGCACAGCATGGAATGTTTCCACTGGGTTCCACATCCAGGACAGGATTCAGGGCCACCTTTGGGGTCCTGCCATCACCTCTCGGGTGGCCATGCCATCCTGCATGTCCCCTCCCACCCAAACCTGCTCACCCTCCCTTTTTGGGGCCAAAACCCCAGTGTGGAGGATGAGATTTCCATTTTGCTTTTTGATTTTTTAAATTTTTTTTTTTTGATGGAAGATGAGATTTCCCCTGTGCTCCCCCCGTTCTCACTGTGCCAGCACCCTCAGCAGGATGGAGCTCCTGGTGGGGAGGAGCAGCATCTTCTGCTGCCCTGCAGGGTCTCAGGGTCTCCTTTTTGTGTCTCTTTTTTCCCTCCCCGTGCCTGGGCAGATGCCAGCCCGGTGCCCTCGACCTCCAGCACCTACCACGCCATGATCGGCGGCGTGGTGGCCGTCATCGTCTTCCTCCTGCTCAGCCTCCTCATCGTGCTGGGACATTACCTGATCAGGCACAAAGGTACGGCCTGGGGGGCTGCAGGGGGGGCTGGAGGAGCCCTCGGGGGTCTCGGGGTAGGGGGGTGAAGGGAGGCAGCTCCTGGTGCTGCCCAGCATGGGAATGTCCCAGGGAATGCAGGGGGAGGCAGCTCCCATCCCGTGGATCCCATTGATCCTGTCCTGTGGATCCCATCGATCCCATCCCATCCCATGGATCCCATTGATCCT